AATATTTTTTTTTTTTATGTAGGTGGGGAAATGCACCTTAAGCACACTTCATAGAGAACGAAGTAGTGTGGGGCTCCCCCTTGGTAAGGCATACCCACTAAAACCCCACCTATGGCTTCGGCTGCTGTGGCCATTAGCCTTTTACCATTGTTTATATCTAAATGACATTTACTATTACTACATTACGGGATCATATTGTGTGCAATACTGCTATATTCCGCAAGAAGTTAATTAATTTTGTACATTTCGATGGATTTAAAGTTTTCTTCCCACATTGCCTTAATATCGTATAATTGTCGTTGAAGGTCATATTTTGCGCATGCACATATTATGTGTTCGGGGGATATTCCCACTCCACAGGTTTCACATCGAGGTTGTGCTTCCCCGGTAAGAAGAAAACTGTGTGTAAGCGCGGTATGTCCCAGCCGGAGTCTGTAAATTTTTGCCATTGTGCTACGTTCAGCAGGAATTTGAAGTAGCGGTCCTATGTTAGGCTTGACTTTCCTTAACGTAGCATCTGAATTTACCCACTGTGCCTGCCAGTGTTCCCACACCCGGTCTTTGACATTTTTTTTTGACAAGTCTAACAGTTCTGCTTCGCTCAAGTGCATTTCTCTCAGACATTCTCTTGCTCTCTCCCCCAATGATCTGCACCTTTGTAACCGCACGCTTTTGTTATCGTTTAACAGCATTTCATGGTTCGGGTGTTCATTATCCAAGGTGGTCTTCAAGTAATAATTGATGATCATTTGTTTCCGACGCAAAGCAAGGGGAGGAATACCTGCCTCCACATACAGAGCACTAATAGGGGTCGTTATAAAAGCACCAAGGGAGTATCTAATAGCCGAGTTTTGGATTTTATCTAGTTCGCTCAACATTGTATCGCTGCACGTTGAATATGCGTAGCAACCATAGTCCAATGTTTTATATGAGAGGGCTGTGGTGTCGGAGGACTTCGGCACGACCATCATCTTTCTATTCTATAAAAATAAGGGTTCTACGGATGACGTTAAATTATAGGGGTATTAGCTTTCTTAACAGTGTTACAAAAATTGTTACTGCGCTGCTGCACAATAGGGTACGGGAATGGGTGGTGGAGGAGAGGGTGTTGCATGAATTTCAAGCCGGTTACAGAAAGGGATATTCCACGGTCGGCCATATTTTTAATTTGATGGAGCAAAGATTGTATTGGGAGGGTTTATGTGAGCGGTGGGGTGTGGAAGTAAGGAGTGAGTGGAGGCTAAGACTAAGCTGTGTATGGATGTTGAACCAAATTATTGATAGACTCTGATTGGGAATCAGGGGCGAGGCTGAAAAGAAAGCTAGGGAGTCGTCCTTCTGTAATCACTATGGTGAACTCGCGGAAGGAGGGTGTACGACAAATGGACTTACTTTTACGGATATTCAGTTAAGGTGTGGGGTGCTATATTTGAATGACAGACAAGGAAGAGAGGATGACAAAAATCTCTGCTCAATGTGCAACCTTGGAGAGAGGGAGGACACCCTGCAGGTTATAGGGAAATGTCCCGTTCTTTCTATAATTAGAAAAAAAATGGTTTGGGGGACGAGATAAAATAGAAAAGAAGAGGCGCTAGATAAAATGAGGGGTAAAGAAACTTGTGGGTTATTCCAAAGAGGCTTGGGGTTTCAGATGCAGCCTCCTTGCACCCATTAATTATTAGAAGCATGTCAATTATACATGTATTAGTATTAATATTTATTCGGTTGTAATGTATGATAATGTTGTATTTCTCTTGTTATTCTATGGCTGATTGTGATTGAAACCAAATTCGTTCGTTTGTTGTTTCGCATAGTTACCATCGTCAGGGCCATGTAATTATTGCCATAAGAAATACACTGTAAACTTCGAGGCCAAAATTCCCAAATGAAATAATAATAGTGTTTAGTATCGCTGATTTTGTAATTTTTTTCTTCTGCGTCAATTTAAAACAAGGATTTTTCAAAAACCGCCATTTTGAAAAAATGTTCTACGTCCATCGAATTTATCCCATCGAATCTTGCAACTTTTATTTTAAACCTTTTTCGATATCTCTCTTTGTTACTAAAATATTTAACTTTTTAAAACTGGAGATTTTCGCTTTTTATGGAACGCCGTTGTATCTTTTAGGTAATAACTGAACACCCGGACTAAAAAAATTAACTATAATTGACGCAATGGTACTAAAATTTATAGAAATTTACTTTGTGTTAACAACAATTGCCTAGTTGAAATTAATAATTGCATATCTTCCAATAACAACTCGCAATAATTTCCTCTTTTACAATTTCAAATAACGGGTTTTGTGCGAAATTTCAAAAACGTTATTGAAATGGCATATTTAACAATTTCAAATCGGCAGTCTTATTCATATATCACGATTTAGAAATAACGTGTTGAAAATTTTAATGTTCAAAAATTATCGATTTGATATTATTAAATAATCTTTAATATCACCTTCACGCTTTGTAATAATTTTCAATTTCAAGTTGAAATAAAAAATTCAATTCTCTATTTCAGACTCGTAACTTTGGAACGCACAATTTAATTTTTAATATCAACTCTGTGATATTGGTAATTCGATTTACTTATATGTCATGACATATAAAAAATTGTGGCGCCATCTATCGAGTGATGTCAAAAGTGAGGAGCGAACCTAAACCCAACTAATCACGTTTGATGTAATTACCGCGAAAATCTACTTTCAAGTGCTTATTTTATTACCCATATCGTTCATAAATACATTGTGCGAATAATATTGTCAAAAAAAATGTACAATTACGCGAAATGTGCGACTTGATATTTTAAATTCTATTGCACAAATTACTAATTTCTAGTTGAAATTTTTAAATTGTACACGATATGAAACTTAGAAATATAATTCGTGAATTGTATATTTCAATAGGATATTAAAATTTTTTTAACTATAACAACCTTTGTGTTAATTACAATTGTCAATATGGAAACTACTTCTTCCATTGTCGCAAAAATTTCAATCCCGTCTAACGTTTTATTTGAAACTGCATACCTATTAATTGATTTTAATGAAAATTTCAGGTACGTTTTAAAATGTTCAGAATGCAAAATTATAACTTCTGTTACTGAAAAATCGGTTGATGGGTTTTAAAAACATATTTTCGTTATTGAAAATTAAGAAATGAAATAGAAAATTATTCTATGGTTGAAAATAGCTTTTATTTTTAAATATCAGATAAAAATTTTTGATATCAAAAACAGTTTGTAAACATTCAGCAATGAATTCTTCATTGTGGAGGAATAAATTAATAGGGATGGATATTACTTGAAACAAGAAATTGAAAATTATCGTTATGTTGTGGATTGAACATCCAACCAAAGGAATCAATGAAATTTATTAATATTTCAACTCTAAATAATAATAGTTTTGAAATAAAAAATTGTTTTAAAATATAAAGTCGATATCATGAAATGCGTTTGAATTAACAAACTTAACACCATAATTGAAGAATTACAATTATAAATTTCAAATAGCGAACTTCGCAAAGTATTTAAAAATTCCAAGTAGAAATTAGTAATTTGTGCAATAGAATTAAAAATATCAAGTCGCACATATTGGTAAATGAATTAAAAATACCAAGGCGACATTTTTAAATCACATATAGCAAATTGACCTGCCCTCTAGCGACAGTAAGTTTAATAATCGGAACAGAATTTAAAATCTCCATTTCGCGTAATTGTACATTTTTGACAATATTATTCGCACAATGTATTTATGAACGATATGGGTAATAAAATAAGCACTTGAAAGTAGATTTTCGCGGTAATTACATCAAACGTGATTAGTTGGGTTGAGGTTCGCTCCTCACTTTTGACATCACTCGATAGATGGCGCCACAATTTTTTATATGTCATGACATAAAGTAAATCGAATTACCAATATCACAGAGTTGATATTAAAAATTAAATTGTGCGTTCCAAAGTTACGAGTTTGAAATAGAGAATTGAATTTTTTATTTCAACTTGAAATTGAAAATTATTACAAAGCGTGAAGGTGATATTAAAGATTATTTAATAATATCAAATCGATAATTTTTGAACATTAAAATTTTCAACACGTTATTTCTAAATCGTGATATATGAATAAGACTGCCGATTTGAAATTGTTAAATATGCCATTTCAATAACGGTTTTTGAAATTTCGCACAAAAACCGTTATTTGAAATTGTAAAAGAGGAAATTATTGCGAGTTGTTATTGGAAGATATGCAATTATTAATTTCAACTAGGCAATTGGTGTTAACACAAAGTAAATTTCTATAAATTTTAGTACCATTGCGTCAATTATAGTTAATTTTTTTAGTCCGGGTGTTCAGTTATTAAAAGATACAACGGCGTTCCATAGCTTTTTTTTCAATTATGTACGAAACGAATTATTTAGGTCGATTTTGGAGAAAGTTCCACTATCAGCATTAAAATAGGTTGCTTCGTTAGTATTTACGAGGTTTATTGAATTGGTAGTTATAAGATTTTCAATTTGCCGGCTTCTGCTGTCGGTAAAACTTGGTCCCCAGAGTATGTGGTAGCTTTTGAGATCCCCTAGTAGTACAAAAGACTGGGGAGATTACGTCATTAAGATCATCTTCTTCAAAGGTTTGGTCTTTTGCACTGTACTCGTTACAAATTATGATTTTCTTCAGGATCAAACCAGTGACCTCTAAAGCTTCCTTCCAGGTTTGTATGGAGTGGGACTTTTCTGCCCATTTACTGTCTGAATAAAGCATTGAGATGTTAAGTGGATCGGGAGAACTTGTAAATTCTTGGATGAATTCCTTAAAATCCATAAAACTTCAAGGCTGCTGGATTGTTGCATATTTTTGGATCTTATTCAGCCCTGTCTCTAACTCTTCTGGACTAAATGTTAACCGTTTCTACAGTAAGAGCGTTTACCCGTTTGTTACAGTTACTTTCTGCATGCCCAGGGCCGCCGTTAGCCTCGACGGGCCCCGGGAATATTTTTTGATCGAGCCCCTATAATTGAAATTTTTGTTGTCCATCACCCTTATCTTAAACTAGACATTTTCAATCTTGACTACTTAGATTGGAAAGGAGAACATTTGAATAATTTATTACGAATTGTTAGAATTCAAATACCTAACAAAATTACAATTTAACTCTGCGGACTTTCTTATTAGCAAAAGTGAATATCACTCGCTCAAAATTAATTTCTCTAGCAAGTTGAGCTTCAAGAGCTAATGTACCGAGATCGATCTAACGATATTGACCCATAGTCGATCTCAAACGGTTTTTTACCTAGCGAGCCTTCTGCTATTGTGCCGTAATTAGGAAATTTTGCTCAATGGTATGGTTTTCTAAATCTTCTGCTGTGCATTTTTTTATATTCTACTCTCTCATATAGATTTCTGTTAAAAAATACAATTAAAAATCAGGTTTCAAAATCTCTTGGTCGGGCCCCCAGAATATGACCGGGCCCCGGGGCAAATGCCCCGGCTGATCCCCCTTATCGGCGGCCCTGTGCATGCCCATTGCCCAGTCTGTTGACATCTGTCACATGGTTGATTTTGAGAAAAATACGATGCCTTTCTCCGTCATGTATTATGACCACGAATGGTGGTAGGTTTTTTACTGTTCCAATGTTTACGTAGGGGTGCCGCCTAAAGCTTATTATATGGGAGTACCGCGGATTTCCTAGGCCAATTTTGAGAAAGACAGTGTCGGATGTTAATTTTAGTTTTAGATGTTGAACTTCGTTTTCCAGAGCCGAATTTAGAACGTTGGAGATTGTAAGTTTTGTAGAGGTTGAAAGTAGTCGTCGAATTGTTATCACATTATTATCTATAGTACTTAAAGCTTTTTGTTGTTGATAATAGATCGTCGACGGATCACTCATTTTTATGGTATATGCAGATCTGGTTATAGATTTCTGTATTAGTTAAGTACGTAAATTAATTATTATTAAAGTAAGATATTAACAATTTAGTTGGTGTAGATTTAAATGTTTAAATAGGATTTACTATAGAAATAAGTGGTTATCACTGACCTTACTGATTAACGGTAGAACACGTCTGTATTCGTAGGTACACAAACTTGCAATGACCAACTTAATCAAAAGTTCTATATGACAATGAAAATTTTATACGATTTCGGGAAAAATTTAATACAACACGTCAGTAAAATGACATTACTTGACCCGGAAAGAAGCCGAGTACATTAATATTTCTTTGCCAGTAACTTGGGATTAGGACTGTTGACGTATTGGTATAGAGAAATACTGTCCCCGAGTATACCTATAGCGGTAACACAAAAAGTCAAAAAAATTAATAACAGCATAAGAATCATTGGAAAGGGAAGGCCATACCTACTTTCTAACAGTAAAAGAACCAGATTTGAACCAGAAACGATAAAATGGGGTTGTAGCAGGCTTTTTTGCATGTAAGGGGTTTGAATCCCCCCTTTTTGAATTAAAATTGTGACACAGGCTCAGATTTGATTATGATTTGTGCTTCCAGCTTGAACAACACCTACCCATTTATATCGTATGCCGAGAAACGTAATCTTTCACACATGAAATGAACCCGAATTAATGCAGAAGTGCAATGAATTGTACTTGTGAGTAAAGCGCTAGAAATGAAACTTGGAATAACAAAAGACCAAGCCGTTTCAGGGAACATTTACTCAATGTTTATGTTTTCCTAAGCCCTCGAATACTATTTAGATATGAAGAAGAAATATAAAAATGTTTTTCTAAAGCGTGAATGTCGCAGTCTCCTGAATCATGTCGGTTCTGTTGACTGCTGTGTAAGCGTGAAAGTGCTTTTAAAATAAACACACAAGGAATCTCTATGGCATTAGGGTTCTGTCAATTGAATGCAATTTAAGGATGCCAGGATGTCGTTATGCAAATATAGCGTCGAGAGAAACAATTCCCTACAATGTTTCTGCGGATATCTTGATGGAGGCCCACAACTTGTTGGTGATGCTTTTCCATCGCGCTAATGTCGGCGAGGGAATTATGTTTACATAAATCTGACAAAGATAAATGAAGTTTGTGGTCCACGCTCTCTTTCATTTTAACAAGGACGAGCACTTACTGGGATTGGGTGCAATGAAGTACAGGTGAATTGCACCAGACTGTTAACGTGGACAACGAACACAGCCCTTGGGCATTTTTCCACAGCACCGCAATAAAATGTTCCCCAATATTTCAATCAATTTTGACAGAAACGCATACAGCTAGAAGCAAATGGAAGTAAAATTATTAATGGCGTAGAAAATAGTGCACGCCAAATCGTAAATTTTATATTATACGAAAAGCACTACTGATTTTATTTAAAATTTAAATGCAATAAATTTTGAATAACCCGTAAATCACCTGTATAGTGAATAATCGATTCTCGAACTAAACTAATTGACAGAATAAATTTATATCAACTAAATCCATCATCCGTCCTAAATTTACTCTGATGTTCTGTTTATTTTAAATCACTGTCTCGAATTGATTCATATTTATGTAGTTGACTTATGTATAAATTATTTGAGTTTATGTTGCCATTCCTATCGAGATTTTATACGATATTATTTATTGGGGAATCTTTTCGTTCTCCTGTGTGGCAATGACGAGTGCTACTCGCTCCATTTCAATTCTGGAGACTCGACGCTAAGCCATTTGTCTGGAATCTATAGTCTTCCTGCTTTCCTATACATTGTGGGCGCTGCACATTTTCGCTAAACAACCAAACACAGTACCTTTAATGAAACAACAAATCCTGGAATCAACATTTTTGACGAAACTATTAATAAATCAAATTTTAGTACATCCAAACGTTCACTTTAATAAACGTGATGTTTAACTATCAAATTACGAAAACCTTAAGATAATAACAAATAAAATCCCGCCTAAGAACAACTATCAATTTATTTTTGATTTTTTTAAAGAATATGCATTATGTCAGGAAAAACATATTGTATGTTGTACTTCCATACAAACCAATTTTACGCAGATTTTAGTAAAGTATTATAGATAACTTTTCAGAAAAAGGCCCCAAATTATTTCGTTGTTTTAAAATGGCCAATACGATAACAGACCCAGAAGAACAAATAATGCTATTCAAAAATTATCACGAAGGTAAGACCAATCACATCAGAGTTATAAATGAGACTTTACAAAGATTAAAAAAATTATTATTGAAAAAATATGAAACCGGGTCCGTTAACTTGGCCCCCCCACTGATTTGATAGTCGTATTATTTTGAAATAAATGCGCTCGTTATGCGCTCATATCCGCCACCGATAATAACTCTTGCGCCATTATCGTTTTTTTAGAAATCCAAAAAACATTTGGGGGGGAGCCAAGTGAACGTAGCCCCCCCCCCCCAGTACGTATTTTGTCCCTTGTAACTAGGTCACCTGATACATTTGGTTATGCGCTCAATTGCGCCACCTGAATTAAAGCTAGCGCCATTACGGTTAAGCCGTGAAAAATTTTCAAAAAGTGGGGGGGCCAACTTAACGTTTTTAAAAGGCCCCGAAAAAAAAATTTTCTCAGATCGACCAGGAAAAAATTTTTTCTTATAGAATGTGGCCTGTAGAATCCATAATTTCAAACAGTTCCAAGATTGGGCTACTAGTTCAAAAGTTACAGCCCTTTGAATTTTCTTTCCAAAATTGGTTTCTAGTCTATAACTTTTGATTGAGAAGTCTGATCGAAAAAGTACGAATTGTTTTGGATTCTACGCACCAAAATTAATAAGAAAAAGTGTTTTCCCGAGAAATTTTGGCGCAGTCGATTTTTGGTAAAAAAGGAAGGTATACACTGCCTTTTTTTGGGCCAAGAAAAAAAAATTTTCTCAGATCGACCCGGAAAAAAAATTTTCTTATAGAATGTTGCCTCTAGAATCCATAATTTTAAACAGTTCCAAGATTGGGCTACTAGTTCAAAAGTTACAGCCCTTTGAATTTTCTTTCGAAATTCGTTTCTAGTCTATAACTTTTTATTGAGAAGTCCGATCGAAAAAGTACGAATTGTTTTAGATTCTATGCACCAAAATTAATAAGAAAAAGTGTTTTCCCGAGAAATTTTGGTGCAGTCAATTTTTGGTAAAAAGGGAAGGTTTATACACTGCCTTTTTTTGAGCCCCGAAAAAAAATTGTCTCAGATCGACCAGGAAAAAAATTTTTCTTATAGAATGTTGCCTGTAGAATCCATAATTTCAAACAGTTCCAAGATTGGACCACTAGTTCAAAAGTTACAGCCCTTTGAATTTTCTTTCGAAATTCGTTTCTAGTCTATAACTTTTGATTGAGAACTCTGATCGAAAAAGTACGAATTGTTTTGAATTCTACGCACCAAAGTTAATAAGAAAAAGTGTTTCCCGAGAAATTTTGGTGCAGTCGATTTTTGGCAGGGTTTACGCAGTGAAATCACAAACAAAAACTAGAACACGTTTATAAAAATGTTACTGAAAAAAGCAAAAGCAAAAAATAGTAGACAAACGTAATAACGAAGGAAATGTTAACTCCGTTTTCAAAGTCGAACAAAAAGTATTCAAACAAAATCCAAAATCCTCCCACGGTAAAAAAGCATAACTAATTTTTAAGACCATGAACAATAACTAGACTTTTAGAAAGAAGCCGTGCCGAGGTGAATCACAAAAAGAAAAGGAAGCGTGCATATAAAAGAACTTAAAATGCCCCCTATTGTTAGAGGTTCCTCATCGGAACAAACGGGGACAAGAACCCCCCAAATTCATTCCAATGAACGACAACCCTGGCATACTACCTTTGAAAATAGGCACCCAAAATAAAATAGACCATTGGTCATTTATTCAAATTTACGACATTATCTTAGTTATTAAAGAATATTATTCGTTTAGCAATTGTTTCACAACAATCCAAGACTAGTAATACGATCTCATTAATAATTTAGAAGAAAAAATTTACACACAAATTAAACAATTACATTCTTCGGATCATAAAAGGAAAAGAGGTGGACTAATTAATGGATTAGGATTGGAACAATAACAAAAGCTTTGACAAGAAAACTTGATCAAGAAGACGCGGAGAAATACGATTAATTGACTGCGACCTTATCAGATAACCAACAAATTACAAAATTCAATTAACCTTTTTAAAACCAATGTTTAAAAAATGACACATAATCAATATATTTTGAAATTCAGAATAATGCAAATTGGTTACGTTCTTAAAACTAGTGAATTGGGACACATTGAAACTCGCAGCTATTTTCCGATTCAAATGGTAATATTTCAATTAATAACAGCTTTTCAAATTATATACGATGTTTTACTTTTTCGAAATTAAATACTGTTCATAACTCAATTATCGATCCAAATGACCTTATTACAAGAAATGAATTTAATAAACCAACAAATGTATCAAAATAAACTCCCCTTTGAACCCACAGTAGATAATATTTTATTGTTCGAAAAAATCATTGAAGTTTAAAGCTATAGCAAGGGAAACGACTCGGGAAACGAGACAGTTTTTGTTTTGTAAGTTACTTTAGTAGAAAGAGAAAATTATAATTATTACCATTATTATATTCCTTTCCGGCACCCACAGTTAATCTATTCCAAGCAATATTTCCAAAATCCAAATATTTAATCCTTAACAAAAAATCCTATGCTCTTCGACAACAAATGCCGAGAAATCACGTCGTATTGTTTGCGTTTTGTCCGTCCGTCCATCTGTCCGGACCCATTTGGGAGGTTTTGACCTACTTCTAGGGGAATTGTCCTAGAGTCGTTGTTTTCCGATATCTTGTTTTTAAAAGTATTACGTTTTACATGTAGCAATCAATTGGTGTCAGATTGTGCATACGCATGCCTTTAGTTGTGCCAAAAGGAACTACCAACTACCTAACGCTTTTCTTTCGCACCCCTTATCAAAGAGACTATAGGTTCTCATAAAGGGCAAATGGAACGTCAGTGCCAGACATATCTACTGGTGATGTCAAAACTTTCCGTGCGAAAAGTGACCCTAAAATTTACCTTTACACTCATTTCTGGCGTCAAAAATAGTAGTTGCAACTTGCAATTTGAAACACTGAAGTTTTTGACAATTTTTGATAGGTAACTTTGAAAAATCGCAGCAGCTCTGGAAACTTTTTAAGACTTTCGGCGGCCACTCAAAAAATTCCTTACACTTAATGGATTTGAGTATTAAATAGAACGATCTCTTATGTTAAACGGTTCTGAATGGACCCTGCATCAAAATTGACATATGTCAAAAACTATAACAGATAGGTAGGTACTCAAATTTTAATTGCGTTGAATTCGGAATAAACTAACGCATTTAGAAGAAAATAGAAAATGCAATGTTTCTATTTAAAAAAACCAGGATGGCACCAATTCCGGTATTTATGAAAGGAGCGCCATCTTGAAATTATTTTATATTTCAATTCGCAATGGTCGGCTATAGCTGTAAACCAAATTTAAAGTCTATTTCAACTGCAATTTTAAAAACGTTTTTCATAGCTTACGCCTACAAAAATAACATTTTGCCAATTAAGGCTTTTAAACCCAAAGAGGAAACCTCCGACATAAAGTTAACAAATCACAGCCCTAGGATTTGTATTTAAGGATGAAGCGAGGGATGAAGTAGTTATGGTAGCCCTTCACACAACATCAGCAAATTCCTCCGATAAGAAATACTTATAATTATATGTAGTTTTTGCTATAATTGCAGGGAGTTGAGTTCAGTTCGCATACTCAATGTAACTTCAAAGAAATTAAAGTTGTTTTTTTAAATCGTTTTCCATAATTCGGTTTTTATAAGGGCTAGAATTAAATCCCGCAGTATTCAACACGAAAAAAGCATATGTGTTTGACTTATTTTTTCAACAGTATAAACAACTAAAATTTTCTTTCGTTTGTTATTAAATTCAGTACGAGTAAACAATGTCATTTATTTTGTTCTAAACTTTTGCTTTTTTTACTAATGCCAATTTTAATGTGCCTTGGAGCAGTTCAGCGAGTTATATTTATCAAATTTTACCACATGTAACAAATTGGCCCTGAGCATCAATTACTCACCAAACTATAACTTTTATATTTTCACCATATAAATACAATATTTCAAATAAATATTATCAAGTTTAGTATGGACCCTTGAGCAATAATATCTTAAGGCTTCAAGGCAAATGTAGGTAGAGATACTTTCTAGGACCACCACAATAAACTTTTACATTGAAATGGGAAATAAACAGAAAAATTCTTCAATAAACTCGCCATAAACAAGTAAGTTACGTACCGAAATGTTCGTGTTAGAGTTTAATTTGACTGCCGTTATCGAGTTTCCATTCCGCAATTTTGAGAACGCCACAAAAGGAAATAAACGCTTTTCAGCGTTTATTAATGTTGAATAATCAATAACAATTTCTTAATAGAGCCCGTTTACGAACACACTAAGAATGTATGTTATGCACATAACCAAATTGAATTTCGGGAGTTTAATTGGATCCACGCGAGATGGGCGCGTTATAATTCTTAATCAAATTACTCGGATAAAATGAAACTGATAGAGGGGCAATATGTTCGTATTACGCGTCAAATCAATGCCCAGAAATTCTCCCTGCTTTAGAGCTATCAAGAAACTTGGGGAGGTATGCGAAAATTATGTAAGTGAGGGTCGAAAATGTTTGTAGATTATACCATTGGGATTTATAAGTCTGGAATTTCCGAATAATTTCGGGTCATTTCTGATTAGTTGCCACTGACTTGTCGTAAATATTTAAGAGGGTGTGTGTTACCACCCGAAAAGTTACATGCATCGAAAATTTAACTTACCGAACACGAGCATGCTCTTTGTTTTCCTGTCTTCGCTTTGAAACGTTGCTACGTGGCAAGTGTAATCTCCGGAGAGATCGGGACTAGACTTAAGAATATGCAGAGCTCTATGGACACTATTCGCGTCTACACTAGCGGCGTACTCTAAATTTAAACGTCCTCTAAGTACACCCAATTCTTGCGGCCTTTTACTGCTACCTGAAGATAGGGATTTGTAAAATTGCGATTTCGGTTGAAAACCGCTCACCTGGTATCCATTGGTAGACTGGCTTGTGGTCGTTTTCGTTAAAATACCATTTCACAACTAATCCGACGTCTTTGTCGTCGACGTCGTCGAAATCTTCGAGGGCGAAGTCGCAGTCCAGAACTACAGGTGCGCCGTGCTGAATTACTTTCGGTACTTGCAGCTTGTTAATCTTTACTCCGATTCCATTGTGAATTTCAGCTGAAACAGAAAACGTGCCGTCAGGATCTTCAACTAAAGTAATCAAAGTTTTAAATCCTTTTACGTCGCGTTTGAACCGAAATGGTAAAAATAAAATTTACAGATATCGTAAGTTTCCTTCTTAAATGTGAGATTGCCTTTTACTCTATTTTTCTTCCTCAAAAATAAATGTAATGTCAGTAAAGAAACTGAAGCGATAATAAATACTGAATGAAGACCTTATTCGGTGGAAGCTGCTTTCGTTCTTTCCACTCAAATTACCGTGGCAGCTCTTACTGTGTCGCTTGAACCACAATTGCACAAGATTATATTTAGTTAAAAATATTTCCGGAGTACTCGTTTTATGTCATTCCTATCAGATATACAACAAGAGATCCAAAAACCCCTAACACCTTCACGATGAATTCAGATGTGAATTACATTTAGATTGAATTGTGCTGTAAGAATATCGAGGTAATCTTAAAACCACCACACCATTATCTGTCACTTGAAGACCTGTTTCCCCTGGCTATCCGAGGCCAATTCCCTTTTCCTTCTCGAGGTCCGCTGCAAAGTCCCTTGAAATGAATCTTGGATTATTGCAGGATTCAGGAAATGACTAGCACTTATTACACAGTTATTATCGTTATTAAATTATAAGTTTATTGAAAATTATATGAACAATGACTTTTATTATATCTGACATTTAGAAAATTACTTGCAGTTAACTTGATCCGAATTCACGTATCAATCATTTTAACAAATTATCTTCAACACTTCCCCTTGATATGTGAATTATTCTTTATCGACTATTTCACATTTAGACATACCTAATATTTCTAAACATTTTTGAATGCTTTGGCTTCGGTAATCCCATTGTCATTATATCTGCAGCCATTTCCTTCGTAGATATATTCGATTTTTGGACCCTCCTTACTTTGAATAATTTCTCGTATAAAGTGATGTTTCACATCAATATGTTTAGTTCTTTTGTGAAAAACTGGGTTTTTCGACAATTTTATTGCTCCATTGTTATCACAGAACAATATTCCTTTCGCTTTTTGCTCAAATCCGAGTTCTGTAGAAATCGATGTAAGTAAACAGATTCCTTTGCAGCTTCGGTTAAATCCATGTATTCTGCTTCAGTAGACGATAAAGCTGGGGTGCTCTGTTTTCTCGATTCCCATGAAATTGGACTTCCTCCTAAAATGAATGCGTATCCAGTATACGATCTTCTATTGTCGACACAATTTGCGTAATGCGCATCCACGTAACCTTTTAACGATTCTGCTGTCTTCTGATATTTTAGACCAATGTTTGACGTACCCTTTAGATACCGGAGTACTCGTTTTGCAGCTATCCAATGTGTCTTGGTGTAACAGGAGTTGTACTGACTAAGATAACTGACTGCGTGAGCTATATCAGGTCTCGTAGAAACTGCTAAATACATTAATGATCCCACGAGTTCTCTGTATGGGAGATGTTCTGAACCTTCTAGTTCTTCCTTGCTTGTAGGTTTTTGTAATCTGGTTCCCAATTCAATCGGTCTACTGACTGGTTTACAATCTTCAATTTTGAACCTTTCGAGGATATCCTTCAGATATCCTTTCTGGCACATTATAATTCCATCGTCAGTTCTTGAGAATTCTATTCCTAAGCAATAGTTTACGTTCCCGAGATTCTTGATTTCAAATAAATTTGATAAATAAATTTCAAATTCCTTTATCCGTCTCTTGTCCTTTGAGATAATTACAATATCATCAACGTATACCGCCAATAGGAATATTTCTTCCCCTCGTCCCAAATAGAACACACACGGATCATAATTTGATGGTATGAGACCGAATTTCTTCATATCTTTTTGAAATCTCTCAAACCATGATCTTCCAGATTGATGAAACCCATAAAGTGCCTTTAGCATTCTGCACTTTGTTTCCTTCCAAGAAAGATTGTAGCATTTCTTTGGTCTTCTTGCTGATTGTGTTGTTACTTGGCTCTGTTGTGATAATTTTTCGCAACATGTCCGCCAAGTGTTCCGGGGTTTCCATATATGTTTCTTCTTTTAATACTCCATTTAGATATGCAGATGCAACATCATATTGTTTCATTTCCATCTGATGTTGAGCCGCTAGAGGCGTAATCAATCGTATTGCACTTTGTCTTGCCACTGGTGCATACGTCTCGTCGTAATCTATGCCGGGACGTTGGCCAAAACCTCTGGCGATGATTCTTGCCTTCCTCTTATCAAGTGTTCCGTCAGCCTGGTACTTGTTTCTTAAGATGACACGACTTCCAATAATTCGTTTGTTTTTCGGTCGATCTACAAGAACCCATGTGTCATTTTTGATACTGGATTTTAGTTCCGATGCCATTGCTTCAATCCATTCGTTCGAATCTTTTCCGTTGAGTGCTGTTTGAACTGGTATTTCGGCCATGTTTGCAAACTCATTAGGTTCTTCAACGATTCTTATCATATTGTATTGCTTTTGAGGTCTTCCCCTGAATCCAGTATGTATAAGATGAGGTCTTCCCCTGCCTCGTTTCATTAATACCTCTGGTTCAGGTCCTTCTATTTCATCGTCTGGTACATCGTCTTCTGCTCGATAATTCGGTTGCTGATGATTGAAATTTCTCTCTCCTCTGAAATTTTCGTCGTTTTTAACATTTCCTTCTCTATGTGCTATTTCTTGATTTCTTGGATTCTCGTTGTTGACGTCTCCATCTTGCTGCATCATTAGATTTTTAAGAATTCGGTTGTATTCTTCATCAGTTTCTTCCGCATCGAACCAATTCTCTTCTTCATTAATTTCGACATCTGGAACTTCTACTGCATGTGATTTCATCGGTATTTCCATTATTTGTCTACTTTTCTTAATTTCGAATTTACAATTTGTTTCTTTTCGAATTCGTTAATAAATTTGATATCTCGTGTGATGTCAATTTTTCTCTCTTCTGGGATCCACACTCTGTACGCCGTGGATATTTCTGCATACTCGACATATATTCCCGCTTTAGATCGAGCCTCGAATTTTCCTGGATTTTGTTCCCTGTTTCGAGTATATACTTTGCATCCAAATTCCCGAAAATAATTAACGTTCGGTATTTTTCCAGTCCAAAGTTCGTGTGGTGTTTTTCCTCTCAAACTTCTCGATGGACATCGATTTCTGGTGTAGTGGGCTGTGTTGATTGCTTCGCCCAGAACCATTGAGGTAATTTAGATTGTATCAACATACATCGCGCCATTTCTACCAGTGTTCGATTTCTTCTTCCGGCGATCCCATTTTGTTGTGGTGTGTGTGTGACGGTTAATCGTCTATTAATTCCATTTGTTCTCAGATATTCATCAAAGACTTTATTTACGTATTCTTTTCCATTATCGGATTGTAAATATTTAATTTTCTTTCCTGTCTGATTTTCAACCAGTACTTTGTAATCTTTAAATGCGTTGAAAACGTCACTTTTATTCTTTAAAAGTTTTACCACACACCATCCAGAATACTCGTCGATGAATATTACAAAATATTTTGCTTTTCCATTTGATTCTACTCTGGCTGGTCCCCAGACATCGAATGAATTATTTCTAGTAATTCTTCTGATTTCTTTTCTCGTATGGAGTTCTTGTCATTTTTCCTTGAATACAGATTTCGCATTCGAGACCATCCCTGGCTGCACCGATGTTAATACCTCTCATAATACTCTTTCTCGAACCTTCTTGAAGATCTTTAAAGTTTACGTGACCCAATCTTCGGTGCCATATTTCGATTTTATTTAGTCTCGATTCCTTCGTCGTCACTTCTGGTACAGAATTGCATTCATTCGTTTCTTCTTGAATTATGTACAATTCGTTTATTCTCCTTGCTTGGAGAATCAACTTCCCAGTTTCCTTGTCGACGATATTTGCGGTTTTATCATTGAAAGTGACTATCATCCCATTGTCTGTTATTTTTCCCACAGATAGGAGATTCATTCTCAAATCTGGAACGTAGAACGTATCTTGAATTTTTATTTCCTTGACTTTTCCGTCAAAATTCGACTTAATTTCCACTGTTCCTTTTCCTTTGATCTCTGTCGATGAATTACTAGCGAGTTTTAGTTTCCCTCCATTTGTATTCTGCAGTTTTGTGAAACTTTCCTCATCTTTGCATAAATGTGACGTACATCCGCTATCAACACACCAATTGTTTTTCCCATAATTGAGTAATCCTCCAAAAGCTTCTGGTACAACTTCAGAGTACATTGTTGTAGCTTCCACGTTGTTTGCTTTAGCGGAATTGTCTGGCTTTCCTTTTCGGTTACAAAATTTGGCCATGTGTCCTTTCTTTCTACAGCGGTTGCATTTATACGGAAATTTCTTTTTCTTTTCAATTTCCTCCGATGACTTTTTATCGAAATTCTTCTTTGCGACCATGACATTTTGTATTCCTGTTTCTGCATGATGCTTCCTTGAATCTCGACATTCAATGATTTTGATTCTCAATTCTTCGGGGTCCGGTAATGTGTCTTGAGACTCCATTGTGGTGCAAAATACCTCAAAACTTGGCGGAAGGCTTAGTAAAACGAGATAATAAAATAATTCCTTACTAATTTCCAGTGATAGTTCTTTGAGTTTCTGCCACGTTGTAAACATCTCATTTAAATGTTTCCTAACATCCTCTCCGTCTTCTAGTCTCGTTACCGCTAATTTTCTGATCATCATTGATTTTCTAAGTGGTTAATTCAATTTGCTCACCGGTCATTGCAAGAGTCATCAAGGATTGTGCATGCTCATCCTTTTTCAACCAGACTTTTCTTGCAACTGTTGATGCTGCTGTTGAATTTCCATTTTCTTCGATTTGTAATTCTGGTTTCACATTTTCTCCTGATGTGAATTCCCATAAGTGGTTCAGATTTAAAATCGCCTTCATTTGACGACACCATGAACGATAATTTTCGTGTGTCAGTGGTTCAATTTTTGCTGGTCCATACGATGTCATTTTTTTCTTCAAATTAAAAAATGTTTCCCACGTATGTTCGTCCAGTTA